TATTCCAGTGCACCATTGTTGTTACTTTGTCATGCCATTGTTTGTAGTCAGTCAGTGCGATCTTCTTGCAGCAGCTAACTAGGTGGACCACTATTTTTTCAGCTTCTTTGCAGAGGTAGCATTTACTGTCTGTTGGTGTCTTCTCAATTCTGGCTTTATATGAATTTGTTCTTAAGACTTGTTCTTGTGCAGCCAGAATTAATCCCTCTGTCTCTTTCCTAATTTTAGGCATTGCCAGATGATCTTGTCCTGTCCTGTGTCTGTGTGTGTGTGTCTGTGTGTGTGTGTGCGCGCGCGCGTGTGTATTGGCCATGAAGTACTTTGCCTTGCCATATCTCTTTTCTATTCTTCACTTAGTCTTTCCTGTAAGCCAGTTTGGTCTCTCTGATATACGGTAAACCTTCTTAGTGTACTAACTTCAGTACAGTACATCTTCTTCACTATCCTTCAGATATTCTTCCAATGTCCTTTTTTTCTTCAATTGTCTGGTATAGTTGCAATATTTTATCTCCACCTACGCTCCATGGTAAGTACATTATTGTGTGAATGAATTGTGTGACTGTCGTTTTTTTATTTTTTTCTTATCCAAGTTTTTTAATTCTTCTTGAGGCCAGTCCATTATTCCAGCTGTATATCTAATGACTGGAATTGTCCAGATGTTAATTGTTTTGATAGTATTTCCTTCACCAACTTTGAACTTTAAAATCTTCACTTTTGAGTTCAGTAGGCTTGACATTGTCTGCCTGAAGAATTTCCAAGTATTGGTAGTGATCATCTTCATCCAGACTCTTGACGTTATTTCCAGTGTATTCTTTCAGTTTCCACTATTTCCCCCCTGTTTATGGTTTATGGCTATATATTCAGAGAGATTCCATTTCAGGTGGGGTTTTCTTTTCAACTTCAGATCATCATGTAAAGGATGTGGAAGAGCCCAGCAGATGTTTATGTTTGTTATGTTTGTTAACCATAACCTGACTTGTTCAATATTGTTCACAGAGGAATCAATGCAATGACAAACAGTAGAGATAGTACTATTATTACTATATAGAGATAATACATTCAGGAAAGATTATTTAAAAGTTCTTTATAAGTTGTTACACGAGAAAACCCTGAAATATTGTTTAAAGCCATACAAGAAGTTAAACAAACAGCTTTATTTCAACAAACATGCATAAACGCTGTGTGTCTAGAGAATGAAAACATTCAAGCATATTAAATATATTCTATACTAAAAACCAAACTGAACGAAAAATGAGTAATTATCATACCATAGCAGTAATTTCTCTCAACAAAGTTTTGCTTAAAATTTTACAAAGAATAAAATAAGAAAGGGGAGAGAGGTCAGATTAAAGGCAGGTTTCAGAAAAGGCAGAAGGACACAAAATCAAATTGCTAACATAAGATGGATAATAGAAAGGAAAAACAATGTAAGAACAAAATTTGCTTTTGTTTTATTCACTAGACTTGATGCCCAAATTAGGAATTTATTAGGGCTAACAGGAATACGTAGGCATCTAATCTTTTAAGGAATCTTTAAAGTGAATGAGAAGCTACTGTAAAAACATGAGGAAACCCAGAAGTGCATAACCAAAAAGTAAACAAAAACAAGGTAATAGAAACAGATGAACAGGATCCGAGATTACAGAATTGATCCTAGAAGAGCTAGAACATATTGTAACAGATGTTTGAATGATATTTGTCCATGCCGTGACCAATCTGATCCAAGGTATCTAGTTAGCCAACTACTTGTGTCATGTTCCAAAGTTCAATAATGATATACGGCTTTTTTAAAGAGCTTTTCTCATAAGGTTATCTCTATAAACAGAAAAAAATACACTCCAAATATGCACACATCTTTCTTCCTAGCATTTTCCCACAAAAACAGGGTCCAGGTTTCTTGGGGGGGGGGAGGAAATCAACCAAGTGTTGATCTATTGGTTATGTCAGCAACTAGCTGACTGATTTGTCGCCAGAGCCTGACATCATGGGCTCAAAGAGAATGACTGGCCCAAAGTTACCAACCAGCTTTCATGCCTAAGGCAGGAACAGCACACAGTCTCCTGGTTTCTAGCCTGGTGCCTTAACTAACAAACCAAACCAGCTTTATTACTACTACTACCACTACTATTACCACCACCACCACTACTACTACTACTACTACTACTATTACTACTACTACTACTACTACTACGTCAATGTGTTCCCCAATACTTCTTTCCCAGAACTTTTTAATTACATTTTTGTAAAAAATGTTTGAATTTATGCTAGAAAATGAAAATATATAATTACATAAGGATTCTAGAAGATTTCTTCTGTGATTTATTGAACTGCCTGCAACAATTGCATCCATTAGTAGCAAGCAACAAATGCAATCACACACCCATCATCTGGAAAGTCAAATGAATTGGAGTAGCCAAATGATAATTCAGAATTGGAAATTCAGAAATAGAAAATATTATTTTTGTTAGCCTATTGAACTAAATTGAAACCAAAACTTGAAAATGCACAATTTCTCAGAAACTGCTGAAATAAATTTTTAGACCAAAATTCTAGCTGCGTGAGCCTCAAGAGATAAAATGCACACACTCCAGTAACATTCAAGAAAAAAATGTAAAAATATATGGCAAATCAGTTAAAAGCAAAATAAGCTCTAGCACACAATGGCATTATACAATAGATGTGGAAAACGTTAAGAAATGATGCAAAAAAATTTCTTGTTAACATTAACATTAAATCTACGGAACACAGGGAACCAACATTAATCACATTGCATGTATACCTGAGGAGTAGGAAGCAGGGGAAAAAAACACTCTTTCCAGAAATCTACTTTTGTCAAAAGAAAGTATTTGGCATGAAAGTTGGACAGTGAATTAGATCTCATTTGAAAACAACTGAATAAATGGGACATTTGTTGAAAGTAATGAACCTGAGCACTTGAATGAGACTTGCAAAACTAACTGGATGCAACCCAGTAATTTTTACTATTATTAATTTCAGAAAAGTAGCCGAGGGCAAAATACAGTTTATCTTGATGTTTAATCTTTTTTAGGCTAAGTGCAAAAATGTTGTGAAGCAGTTCAGCCAGAGTTCTGTTCTTTATTTGCTTATACACAATAGACAGAATCTTTCCAGACTAAATCCTTACTATCATGAGTCTAGCTAGGAAATTGGCTATCTGAACACTTTCTTAATGGCCTATCCATCTCCAGACTGTGCTGCCTCTTGCCCCCTCCTTTTATTTTTGGAATATGCTCCCTACTTCCTGGGAAACTGCCGCCTCACAGTAGTCCTTCACATCAGCTCCCTCTCTGTGGGTATCCTCTCACAATTTCAGAGTCCAGAATGGACAGTTTTCCATCCAACTTGGCCATGCTAAATATGAAAAAAATAAGAACACCTGTTACATGAATTATTTTATTTAGAAAACTAAATATTAGAGAACTAGACTGCCCTATCACTTTCTTTCAGATATATTTCTATCTGTACATTTATTTATTCTGGGCGGAACGGCATTTGTTTGCAAGACACTACAACAAAGAGAATTGGAAAGCAAGTATGTTGTAACACCAAGGCCTTAATGCCAATTCCCTATCTTTGGGTACACATTGAACTTTGCATATGGTATTGATAAACTTACACAAACACTGAATGACTTACTGTATTTATTTAGAAATTATCTGTCTCTACATAAAAGGCTAAAAGTTGGAAAATACAGTAGCATACTAGTGGTTTGTGTGTGTGTGTGTGTGTGTGTGTGTGTGTGTGTGAAAGAGAGAGAAAGCTGATTATGAAACAGCAACTATAGTACTCAGTATAATTCACTTCCAAGAACTTTAGTTCTACTTACATAGCACAAAAAATACAGGCTACAAGGCTAGTATAATGCACAGTTGATTGGCACAGATGAAAATTTTACTTACAAGTGCAACCCTGCAAGTTAAAACATATGTCAATGGGGGTGTTGCATAATCTATGAAACCACAAATTATCCATATAGATGGGTTCATACTACATGCTAGTTAATGGTTTAATGTATCATGTGATTCTAGCCTACATAATTAATTTACAGTTCAGTGTATTGTGTGAAAAAAAGCAACTGGGTTAATTTAATAATGTATGTCATCTTAACACAATGACACAACTCTGGCAGGATCAAATGAAGGATGACAATCTTTTTCAGTCTGCCATTAATTATTCTAAAACACTCATTTTCCTTACAGTAATTGTATTCTCTCCACAGTGCAGTCCTTGGCTGCAAACAGATCAGATGCAAAGTAATGGTCCCAACTAGCTTTCAAGAAGCCTGCCCTTTGCCAGCAGCAAACGCAAGCCAAGCGTGCAAAGAAGCAACGAAGAAGAGCAGAAATAAAACGCATAGCTTCAGACAGCAAACGAGGACACGTTGAACGGCTATAGGACCAAGGCGTGGCGTGTAAACCATAGGAAGCGCTAGGTTTGTGCAAATTAAAATCAGATGTCTCAAATTAAATGGAAAAACTCAATGCAAAAGTAACACACACGCTTACACACGTACAAGCACCCCTCAGAGGCAGCCACATACACCCACCGAGCGGAAGCTGGCGGAGAAAGGGACGAAACTACGGGAGGAGGGGGCGTTCGCTCCCCTTAACGCACCGAAGCGAAACCGGAGCTTTCATGCCGTTTTTGCGAAGGTGGAAAAGCGGATTAATCCATTAAGGCCACGCGCAAAGAAAAAGCGAGCGGAGGGAGCCGACAACCCGGCAAAAGGACTGGACCGGGTAGGGAGCGGGGATCCTGGGAGGACTGCAGCAAAGAGACGGCGGCGTGGAAGCGCTTTGCAGGAAGAAAGGAGGCTACAATGCTCAGAAGAGGGGGCGGGGGGATCGTTGGAGCTCCAGAACGAGTCAAGCCCATCTCCCGACGAGATGGGGTTGGGGGGGGGGAATGGGAAGGCGATCTCCCATCAGCCCGCCCGGCCTCGCTGCAGCATCAGGAGTTCCTGCCGAAGTAGCACAAACCTGCAGTCCTCGCCGCCTCCGCGGCTGCTCCCCAGCTCGGCTCCCAGAGCCTTGATCCCGCGGCCGCGGCCCCTTCGTCCTTCTCCCGTTAAGCAGCCGTGCGCCCACTTTTCTTCGGCGCCAGCGACCCTAGCAGCCGCCTCTGCTCTGCGGAGGCTGGGACACCGCTCCGGAAAAGGCGTAAAGGAATCCGGTTGTAGCGGCGCCGGGATGAAGCCTTGTGCCCAGAGTGCGGCAGAACCAGCTGCCTCTGCCTGTGCGAGTGTGGTCGAGTATGCCTCTGTGTTTTGTGTGTTTGTGTGTGTGTGTGTGTGTGTGTGTCCGTGTGGGCTCCCAGCAGTCGCTACTTCCTGTGCAACGACAGTTCAGTTCCTCCCGAACCAGGAGGCAGGGGAAGGGGGCTGGCGGCTAAAGAAAAGGGGGAGCATGGTGATGGTGGCGGCAGCAGCCTTGCTTCAGTCGAGCTAGCCCTGAGGGAAGCGAGAGAGCTGCTGCCTTTGTAGGGGGGGGGGGGAGGAAACGAGTTTTGCTTAAAGGCGCCTCTCCGGCACGAGCATCGTCCCTCCGCGCCGCTCTTCACTGGAGATTGGAGTCGCGGAGGATAGAAAGGCGCGACCTCCGCTGCCCGGTTCCCGCGTCCCGTTTCCAGAGATGTTAGGAGAAGCACCGCTGACGGCTCCCCTGCTCGCGCGCTGCACGGCAAGGCGGCAGCTGCTTCTTCCCAGGCTCGCGGAATGCGGGAAGGGGAGGCGGCACCGGTGCCTTTGGTCGGCGTGGTTGATTTCACGTGATTTTTTCACATCACATCACAGCCCGGTCCCGTTATTCGTAGACATCGCCCATTCATGCCAGGAAATGGATTACTTGTTCTTTTACTCTCTCGGTTAATAGGAGGTTTTCAGTATGTACCTCGACTCGTTCTGTTTGGCCGCTGAAAATGAACTAGCGGAGGAAGGAGCTTGGGTGCCACCCTCAACTTCCAATAGGCACCCTGTTTGCACAGATGCCTCTGCGTGAATATCTGAAAGTATGAAAGGCAGCCTTCCCATTTATACTTTCTACCTACTTCCCACCCACCCCCCCAAAAAAGATATGTATGAATCTTGTAGGTTTATATTGGTCACTTTATTTATTGGTAGATTTACGTGCTATTTCAGGGTGGGTCACAATATTAAGAATAAAAAATGGAAATACGGAGACCATTGAAATACTGTAGTATTAATACTGTGGTTTAAATTGGTAGCAATAAGTACACACAATTGCATTATTATAATTTGTGAGTGCAATGAATCAATTGTATGGTGTAAAGCAGCCAACAGTAAGGTAACCACTAGTGCAGGGGTCTTCAAACTTGGCCCTTTTATGATTTGTGGACTTCAACTCCCAGAATTCTCAGCCAGGAAGGCTGGCTGAGAAAATTCTGGGAGTTGAAGTCCACAAGTCATAAAAGGGCCAAGTTTGAAGACCCCTGCACTAGTGGCTTAGTTGACTCAATTTTAATTAACAAACCTCGCTCTACTCAATAGAGTTGACCCCTTGGTTTGGAGGTTGGTGCAAGATCATCAGCAGATAGTTAAATGAATCAATGTAGATTAGAGTGTGAAGGGATTATGGCTGTTCTTCCGACTACCAATTGGTATGAACAGAACCCCAGGCTTACTAGTCAGCAGTCTTATCAACCAGCAAGCCTTGGTTTTGATTGCTGTCTACACAGATATATACATTTAAATATGTATAAGCTGCATTTAATACTGTGTGGTATGCATAAATCTAGTAGCGCCAGAAAGAATGAAGCGACTGGGCCAAAGCCGAAAGGACGCTCAGCTGTGGATATATCTGGTGGTGAAAGGAAAGTCCGATGCTGTAAAGATTTTTTCTCCATAGGAACCTGGAATGTAAGATCCATGAATCAAGGCAAGCTAGACGTAGTCAAAAAAGAGATGACAAGAATGAACATCGACATCTTAGGAATCAGCGAACTAAAATGGACAGGAATGGGTGAATTTAACTCAGATGACCATCAGGTATACTACTGTGGGCAAGAATCCCTCAGAAGAAATGGAGTAGCCTTCATAGTCAATAAAAGAATAGGAAAAGCAATACTGGGATACAATCCCCAAAATGACAGAATGATCTCAATTCGAATCCAAGGCAAACCATTCAATATCACAGTAGTCCAAATCTATGCCCCAACCACTGGTACTGAAGAGGATGAAATTGACCGGTTCTATGAAGCCCTACAGCACCTTATAGAATTAACACCAAAAAATGATGTCCTTATCATCATGAGGGACTGGAATGCTAAGATAGGAAGCCAAAAGATAACCGGAATAACAGGCAAGTTTGTCCATGGAGTACAAAATGAAGCAGGGCACAGGCTAATAGAATTTTGTCAAGAGAATACGATGGTCATAACAAACACTCTTTTCCAACAACCCAAGAGACAGCTCTACACATGGACATCACCAGACAGTCAACATAGAAATCAGATTGACTGTGTACTCTGCAGCCAAAGTAAAAACAAGACCAGGAGCTGACTGTGGCTCAGATCATGAGCTTCTTGTTGCAAAATTTAGGCTTAAATTGAAAAAAGTAGGGAAAAGCACTAGGCCACTCAGGTATGAACTAAATCATATACCTGATGAATATACAGTAGAGGTGACAAATAGATTTAAGGAACTGGATCTGATAGACAGAGTGCCTGAAGAACTATGGATGGAAGTTCGCAACATTGTACAAGAGGTAGCAACTAAAACCATCCCAAAGAAAAAGAAATGCAAGAAAGCAAAATGGCTGTCTGAGGAAGCTTTGCAAATAGCTGAGGAAAGAAGGGAAGCGAAAGGCAAAGGAGAAAGAGAAAGATACACCCAATTGAATGCAGAATTCCAGAGAGTAGCTAGAAGAGATAAGAATGCCTTCTTAAATGAACAGTGCAAAGAAATAGAAGAAAACAACAGAATAGGGAGGACCAGAGATCTCTTCAAGAAAATTGGAGATATGAAGGGAACGTTTCATGCAAAGATGGGCATGATAAAGGACCAAAATGGCAGAGACCTAACAGAGGCAGAAGAGATTAAGAAGAGATGGCAAAACTACACAGAAGAACTATACAAGAATGAGCTTAACATCCCAGATAACCACAATGAGATGGTCATTGACCTCGAACCAGACATCCTAGAATGTGAAGTGAAATGGGCCTTAGAAAATCTGAGCAACAACAAAGCTAGTGGAGGTGACAGTATTCCAGCTGAGCTATTCAAAATCTTAAAAGACGATGCAGTAAAAGTGCTACACTCAATTTGCCAGCAAATTTGGAAAACTCAACAGTGGCCACAGGATTGGAAAAGGTCAGTTTACATTCCAATTCCAAAGAAAGGCAATGCCAAAGAATGTTCAAACTATCGCACCATTGCACTCATTTCACATGCTAGTAAAGTTATGCTTAAAATCCTACAAGCTAGACTCCAGCAGTATGTGGATCGAGAACTACCAGAAGTACAGGCAGGATTTCGAAGAGGCAGAGGAACTAGAGATCAAATTGCCAACATACGCTGGATCATGGAGAAAGCTAGGGAGTTCCAGAAAAACATCTACTTCTGCTTCATTGACTATGCAAAAGCCTTTGATTGTGTGGATCACAACAAATTGTGGCAAGTTCTTAAAGAGATGGGAGTACCAGACCATCTCATTTGTCTCTTGAGAAACCTATATGCGGGTCAAGAAGCAACAGTGAGAACGAACACGGAACCACTGATTGGTTCAAAATTGGAAAAGGAGTCCGGCAAGGCTGTATACTGTCGCCCTGCCTATTTAACTTATATGCAGAGCACATCATGAGAAAGGCAGGGCTAGATGAATCAAAAGTTGGAATTAAGATTGCCGGGAGAAATATCAACAACCTAAGATATGCAGATGATACCACTCTAATGGCAGAAAGTGAAGAGGAACTAAAGAGCCTCTTGATGCGGGTGAAGAAGGAGAGTGCAAAAGTTGGCTTGAAACTCAACATTAAGAAAACCAAAATCATGGCATCCGGCCCTCTCAATTCCTGGCAAATAGATGGGGAAGAAATGGAGGTAGTGACAGATTTTATTTTTCTGGGCTCCAAGATCACCTCAGATGGGGACTGCAGCCAAGAAATTAAAAGACGCTTGCTCCTGGGGAGGAAAGCTATGGCAAATCTAGACAGCATACTAAAAAGCAGAGACATCACCCTGCCAACAAAAGTGCGTATAGTCCAGGCCATGGTTTTCCCAGTTGCAATGTATGGCTGTGAAAGTTGGACCATAAGAAAGGCTGAGCGCCAAAGAATTGAGGCCTTTGAACTATGGTGCTGGAGAAGACTCCTGCGAGTCCCTTGGACTGCAAGGCGTTCAAACCGGTCAGTCCTAGAAGAGATCAACCCCGACTGCTCTTTAGAAGGCCAGATCCTGAAGTTGAAACTCAAGTACTTTGGCCACCTAATGAGAAGGAAGGATTCACTGGAGAAGAGCCTAATGCTGGGAAAGATTGAGGGCAATAGAAGAAGGGGACGACAGAGAATGAGATGGCTGGATGGAGTCACTGAAGCAGTAGGTGTGAATTTAAATGGACTCCAGAAGATGGTAGAGGACAGGAAGACCTGGAGGAATGTTGTCCATGGGGTCGCGATGGGTCGGACACGACTTCGCAATTAACAACAACAACAATGCATAAAATCAGGACAGCTCCTTCCAAACCTTGCTCCCTTCAAACATTGAACTGATCCTGTGAATAAACTGTTTAATTTTCCAGCTACACTCTTCAAAGAAATGTTTTTCTAGTGCCTGTATTGTGATGTGAACTTTGAATATGAACTATAAATGTGTAGCATTTCTGCACATGGGAACTTTAGCCCTGCCAGAGGTCTTCTTTGTAGAGAATTCTGTATATTCACAATGTCCATAAGAACTTGATACTTAAACAAAATCCAAAAACAGACATCCGTAACATCAAGATATCTGAGGGGGAATATGATAGCACTCTTCAAATACTGAAAGTAGATCATACAGAAGAAGGTCAGGAGCTGTTCTCAATGATTCTTGAGTAAAGGGCACAAAGTAATGGATTTAAGTTACCAGAAAGCAGATTTTGAATGTATTTAAGAGATAAGGGAAAAAAAACTGTAACAGTAAAAGTGGTTTGAGAGTGGAGCTATTTACTTAGGAAAGGGGGGGGGCTGCCCCCATTGGATATGCTCAAGTACCAGATTGCTATTTATCAGAACTATTTTAACATTCCTGTACTGAAGAGAAGGTTGGATTTCCATAACTAAAATGTTTTTTTCCAACTCTGTTTCTGGTCAACCTATTATGCAGTGTCTGAAACTAGTCAATGGTTCAGCAGATGGTGCAAGCTCAGAAATTTTATTTATTTATTTATTTAGAGAATTTATATAGCCGCCCACTATAAGCCCACAGAGTCTCAGTGACTCTGGACAGCTTATAAAAAATAAAAACCCAATAAATAACAGTAAAAATAACCCCCCCCCTGCAACAGCAATCAATCAAACAAGCCACTTAATGGACTTGTAGGGGTTTAAAGGTTTAAACAGCAATCAATCAAACAAGCCATGTAGGGGTTTAAAGGTGACAGCCAGCACCTTGAATTGTACCCAGAAGAAAATAGGCAGCCAATGAAACACCCACCCACCCACCCACCCCCCTGCCACTGTTGCAGGAGACATGACGTGCACACCTGGGTCTGCACAAAACCATT